GCCGGCGCCTCCGTGAATCGACCTGACAATGAGGGCCTCGGCCCTCTGCACATGGCCGTCAAGTTCCCTAAGCTCGACATTCCAATGATCAAGCTGTTGCTAAGCCACGGCTGTGATCCCGTCAATCTGGCCTGTTTCACTCGCTGGCTGCTGGCCCACGGTATTATCCCCGAGGAATGTATCCAAGGTGATGACGAATTGGCGGAATGGCTGCGCCAGGAGGAGTCAAATGTCCGCTCGCTTAAACGCCTCTGTCGTACCGAAATCCAACTGGCCCTCGGCAACGCCGATTCCATGCAGGCCAAAATTGGCGGTCTACCGCTACCGGAACATCTGCGTTCCTTCGTTTCCATGCGTGCCCTGTGAATGAGGGACGGTAGGGTGCTGTTTGCACCATCTCTGCCCTCTGTACACGTATGTGTTGACACTACAAGAACCTAGAGTGTAGCATTTATATGCCGGCACACACACACACACACACGGAGAGAGGGAGTTCCAATTCTCGTCCGAATTGCATTTTGCACCCTCCGCACACACACAATCGCACAGAGAATTCTTGATTTTGTTGGTCTTTCATTGCCAGTCCTTTTTCTCTTTATATGCTCTGCCATTGGTCCAACGGCGATGTGTTGTTTAGTCTTTTATGTGTCCGCCCTTCTCACACACCCACCATTCTTTATGTTCGTCACACCACCTGCCTCCGCGTCCGTGCGCGCCAGGCACACACACACATACAGAGATGTGAGAAACTTTTAGACTAGCAGCATGACACAAGCACCACCCACACGCAAACAGAGAGCAAAATTCGTCCTCTTTATACCTCTCCTTGCTTCGCATTCTTTTTCACTGATCAGCACACGCCCGCAAACAGATTCACCCCCACCTCGTCCCCCAAGTATTTAATTATTTCCATTATTTGTTGTGCATTTTTCGTGTTTTATGCTGTCTAGCCAAGTAACTAAATGCTACCTTATTCTTTATTATTACTATTACTAATACCATTACTACTTTGTCTCTGCTACTTGCCTAGACTTTATGTCCTTGACGGTCAGGGAGTTACTTTTCCTGGTGCCAGTGTCCTGGAGGAGTACGACGATAGCGCGTGTGTAACTGGAGGTCAGCAGTTTCCTCTAGCTTATGGATTCGAAAACAAATGCCTCCACTCATTCCTCCGGCACACTGATTTACCGTCCAATAGTGAATGGTGGGCAAAGCTTGCCGTGCTATAACGCTTATATGGCTTACGACCGTTTGCGTAGATCGGCGCCCGACTACACGTGGAGGTATTATTGCCGTATGGTCAGCGACTGCTTCTTCGTCAGACTCGAGGCCCCGTTTAGTTCGCAGTAGGCTTTCGCCGAACACTGTTCCACTATTCGCCCC